TACCTACCTATCTACCTACCTCTATCTATCTATCTATCTATCTATCTATCTATCTATCTATCTATCTGTCTGTCTATCATCTATCTGTCTATCTATCTATCTATCTATCTATCTATCTGTCTGCCTGCCTGCCTGCCTGCCTGTCTGCCTGCCTGCATACTTATCTACCTGTTTGTTTTGGCACTTCTGTCTTATGCAACAATGCGTTCGTATACTACTGGCTTTGCTGGGACTGCAGTCTATGTCTGCTTGTTTCCTAGGAGGGATAGTGTTGGACATTCTGTGTGGTTTTCAATGGCACTTGAACAGAGGAATTATCCGGTGACCCGAGTACTAGGAAGCTGGAACTGCAATTAGCCGAATACCTTACTACAGAGCTACTCAACTGGCGGCCTGCGGACCAGATCTGGCCCTCAGAGGCCTCGCAAGCGGCCCGTGGATCACTGCCAGTTAGTCGTAGTCTCAGACGAGGTTTCAACAAAACTGCAATCGTGTTTCCCCGTACTTGCTCCGGTTATGTCTTCTTTGTGTACCAGCGCAAATCAAATGAAATGTCCTTCACTGTTTCATTAAAAAAAAAAAAAAAAAAAACTAACGAACAAACAATAAGTCAGTTTACTGCACAAATGGTCAGCCTTTGTGGCTTAGGCGTTACGAACGCGCTTTGTAATGCCGGGATGCCAGGTTCGATCTCAGCGACGGTCTGGCGCTTGCCTTGATTTCGACAGTGGTATCGAGAAGCCGACCGTCCAGGAAAAACAATGGTAAACTACTGGACGTAAACTTGCCTAGAAAAACCACAAACAGCCAAAAAATGTTGGGGTTGATTCTGCGACGTCCTGTAAAGGATACGCAACTAACTTTAACTGCACAAATGAAAGTCATTCGACATTTTAAAAAAAAAAAGACAGTTCACAGGGCTGCACCAAGCACTAAACTCAGTAGCTCAGACAGCAAAGCGGTGTCGGAGGCAAAAACAACACAGAAGCGTAACATTCTGCCATGCTTCCGCCATTTTAGCCGGGAAGTCCCATTGCTAGTTATATTGTATTAATGATCTTTCTATTCCAGAGCCCGGGACACGACTGGCCCTAGCCGTGCTGCTGACGTCATCGGGTTGGGCTAACGATGCGTTAACGCAGCGATTCTCAAACTGGTTGCCGAGTCTCCCTGTGGTTCTGTGAGCGAATGCCAGGGGTGTCGCGGCAATAATCAAGAAAAGTCGGCTAAAAATTGTGATATTGTTAAAGAAGTCAAGTAGATACTTAAAGGGTAAAATTTAAGTTGTCTTCCCTCGCCACTGTGGAAGACAGTTTATTTCTTGTTTGAGAGCCGCTGAAGTTAACGCATCGTTAACTCGACCCAGGTGACGTCAGCAGCACGCCCGTCAGCTAGAGTCGGTCGTGGCTCGGAACTCTGACACCCAGTTTCAAAATTGTGGCCCCTTAGTAAACTCAGCTGAATAGCCTTGCCTTACAGCAAGGTTTGTTGCGTATCCTTTACAGGACGTTGCAGAACCAACCCCAGCAGCCCCTGGCTGTTGTGTGGTTTCTCTAGGCAAATTTACGTCCAGTAGTTTGCCATTGCGGTCGGGCCCCTGATACCACTGTCATAACCAACACAAGACGCATGGCCCGCAACTGGCAAACCGCATGCCGGCATTAAGAAGCGTTCGCATCGACTAACCACAGAGCCGACCCTTACAGCAAGACAGATAACACAATAACAGACACTGGGCAATCTTTAATTACATAAGAATTTTAATAAAAGTGTACAAGTTATAAAATATACATTTCTATAAATCAATATAGACAAACACAACAATTATCTTTAAGTTGAAATCAACACACAAAAAAGTATATCAGTCAAAATGATAGTGTATAACAAATGAGTGCATTAATCAGCTTCAAGGTGTGGTGAAGACAAACACAACAATGAATGCAGGCATTTGGTTTAGACCTGTAACAAAACTACATTTCTTCGCGAGTGACACAGGTTCGATTCCTGTGTAAGACTGGGGTTTTTTGTTTTTCTGACAGGGGCAAAAGTCCATAGCGACAGCACCAGCTATCTTCTTCTTTTTCTTCTTCTTCTTCTTCTTCTTCTCTTCCACCTTTTACCTCATCGAAGTGTCGGGGGGATGTGTAATGTTCTTTGATGAGCTCTGTCAAAAGCACTATTAAGACTGATGTTCATTTCTGTAAGGCTGTTCTGAATGCCATCACTCTATGTTTTCCGAGGTCTTCCAATCGCTCTATACCCGTTGTAACGTTTTAGTGTGGCTCGCTGTGGCGGATAGTACCAGGGCACCAGCTATGCGATCATAAATCCCTAGGCTCAAAGTAAAAACGGTTGTACACGCAAAACTCAGGTCCAGGTAAAAGCCAAAAGTCTAAGCTGGCGATTAATTCACAACCGGTGAACGAAGAAGCAGAATATAAGAAGCCATTGAAAAACTTTATAGGGGACGCTATGAGCGCATAATGAGCACAAGCCTTGCTTACATGCTCAGTAATAATACTAAATAGCAAATAAATATATTTTTAATAATATTTTTTAAAAATTCCTGAAAATAGACCAACTACAGGTAAAACACTGACAGGTCATACATGAGTAACACCCAGTCACATAAGACGCGTTGTCTGGGACTTAAATAATTGACTGACGCTATGTAGGATTGGACACTAAACCGGCTGGCCCCGCGCCCAGTGACTGGCCCCGTGCAGTGTTCTCTAAAGGTTTGAATTCCAGGCTGTCTTTGGGAATGCCGAATTGACTCAGCTTTTTCTCACACGTACGAAGTAAGTCATTGTGTGCCTGTTATGAAGAAAACAAAGCAAGATTTTAAAGGGTCGTAAAAACCGGTAAACCTGGTTAATATAAACTCGCTATTGGCTCAAGAAAAACACTGGGGTCGCATAAACCAGTGGTCAACAAAGGGGAGGGGTGGGAGGGGGGGGGGAGTTAAGCAATTTTGACAATCAGTGCATTTGTACTTGTAATAATTCGTTTTCAGCGCAATGTTAAAAAGCTGAATCAGTTTCATATAACTTGTCTCGGAAAGCTGCTCAAAATCAAATGGCAAAGTAGGGTCCCAAACATCGTGGTTCTTGATAGGGCAAACCTGCCCGGCATCCACACGATACTGAAGAATTGTCAGCTGCGTTGGAGTCGGTCACCTAGCCCGTGTGCCAGACTATCGCCTCCTACAGAGAGTATTTTATGGGGAGCTCCAGCCAGGAAAGAGGTCATGGGAAAGACACCCCCCCCCCCCCCCAACAAAAAAAGAACGCTTTAAGAACACTCTCAAAACTGCTCTCAAGTCTTTTGGTATCAACACCAGCAACATGGAAGGCTGCTGCACATGACCGTTCTTGGTTGCGTTCACCCCTAAGGACATGGTGCATCAACCTGGCAAGCAGCGGAGGTTGCTCATGGAGAGAAACGGAGGCAGACTAGAAAAAACCGAAATCGCTAATCCCACACTTACTGCAGCTTCCATCTGTTGTCCGCACTGCTCAAGAACTTTCCAGGCTCATACTGGACTAATCAGGCACCTTCGAACTCATAATCATTAATCATTACTACTTTGGATGAAAATTGGTCTTCATCGCTTGTGATGGGCGAACAAAATTCGTTATACTTATGATTTGTGTTAGTTTCATTATCAATAAAACAGTTTTTAAAACTATCTATTAAAGAAAAAGACAAGGGCCCATTTTGTTTTCTTTAGCAATTTGTACGAAATCCGTTAAAAATTTATATTTTTTGCTATCTCAACTTCAGCCACACCCATTTATATTTCTTGCAATCAGCTTGACTGCAGTCACCCCCATTTATTTTTCTTTCAATCAGCTCGACTGCAGTCACCTCCATTTATATTTCTCGCAACCAGCTCGACTGCAGTCACCTCCATTTATATTTCTTGCAACCAGCTCGACTGCAGTCACCCCCATTTATTTTTCTTTCAATCAGCTCGACTGCAGTCACCCTAATTTATTTTTCTCTCAACCAGCTCGACTGCAGTCACCCCCATTTATTTTTCTTGCAATCAGCTCGACTAGAGTCACCCCCCCCCCCTTTTTCCCCTTTATATCTCTTGCAACCAGCTCGACTGCAGTCACCATCATTTACGCCATTGCTTTTGTAGTATGTTATGTTATGTTATCACAATCGACGTCACTGCACACTGGGCATTTCCATTCGTGCTCAGTCCTCCGATGCACTTGCCACTCTAAGGCACCTCTACTGATTGTCCTTACAAGGTGGTTGGTTATGTCTCATATATCGACCACAAAGGCGACCCAATGTTTAATTAAGAACCGACATCCCAGCACTCGAGACATTCACACAATCATCCCGTCCCCATGTTCAGCAGCAAGCGCAGAGTTCCGATTTCGATAGTACCAGTAGCAGTCTGATTGTATATCCATCTCACTTTTCCCTTGAGTGCTGATCGTCGACCCCGATCCCCATGCTCACTCGTTGCAATACCATTCTCCTCAGACCATGATGTTTACTCGCCCCCGAAGACCCTTATAACATCTTGCTTGTCATGCATCAGTTCACCACCAAGTTGTGCAGAACCAGCCAGTCTATCTGCCTGTTCATTTCCCAATAGACGTGCTTAACCATGCTTTACTCCCAGGTTATGCAATCGAGTTAGTGTCAGAGATGCGTCATTACCTACTGGACTAATCCGTGGAGCGTTGATGAAATCTGCCCTGGCCATGCCTCTTCCCACATACGTTGGTGCTTACTGCTTGCCAGTTTGGTCCTACGGCCCATTACCTTTAACGCCGTGGCATGACCAGGTTGGTCGAAACAGGCGAGAGAGGTTCAGTGATATTTTCGAATGCTTTCTATCCCTTGGGTGCACATACTATCTGCTGCGATTTTTCTGAAGCATGTTCATGGAGTCTCGTTTTTCTTCTTCTTCTTCTTCTTCGCGTTCACCAGCTGTAAACTCTGGCGAAAAGCTCCTGTTGTTCGTCCACTTCTGGACTGCAGCCCTGTTCCAAAACCTGAGTTTTGCGTGTGCATCTGTTTTACAGATCTGACTCATTTGTATGCAGATAGCTGGTTCCTTGCCTCTCAGGCAGTTGTAACTGCCCGTGTGACCGCTTACCTGCTTGTAAAGTCAGCCTGTGATCCTAGCAAACGTGCCGCTACGAAGTAGATAACCATTCTGCACCCCCCCCCTCACCCCAGTGCCTAAAAAATTTGTGAGGGATGAGTTCCCCGCCCACTGGAAAATATGAAAGAGGACTAAATAGCCCCCCAACCATGTACTGGGTGCTCTATTTGTAAGCATCTTTAAATATATTTTTACATTTATCATTCATCACAAAAAAATAATGCTGCCGCTAAAATAATAATTATTATTGCGCATTTTTACAAGGATTAACGCTTGCCAGCCCCTGGAAAAACTGAAAGGGGAATAAACAGCCCCGCAACCATGTACTAGGCGTTTTATGTGCATCACCTTATACATCTCATTCCATTAAAAAAATATTATCACATTTTTTTGTCATTCATTTAAAATTCAACTAAAAATAATAATTATTGTTGCGCACTTATACAAGGATTTGGCGCATGCCGCTATCTCACCCCATTAAAGTCCATCACTGGAAAATTATAGGGGATGGGGTGAGGCGGTAGGGGGTGGGGTTGGGAGTTTCTAACCCTTCCCCAGTGAGTTTTTGAAACGGCGCGACTTTGAACACAGCTCCCACAAGACACACGGCTGAAGTTCTAACCTTGCAGGTCCTGGCAAGCTCATACTGCAGATCTCTAATGGCGGAATTCTTGGAATCGAGCACATCCTGTCCAACAAAAACCACACATAACAGAGGTTTGAACAACGGATACACTTCATGGCACATGAGTAGTAACCCATAAGTGCTCCCATCTTCTTCTAACTCAAGTCTTGTAAGTCAGAAGAAGCTCATCACAGAGCACCGGCTCTGTAGCACCGGAGAGGGTCCTGAAATACTTTAGGTAGATTTTTGACTCCCAATTTTGCCCGGGCAGCGCCGTTAGGCTACTTTTTTTTCGATTTCCAAATGCTAAGGCATTTGCTACGTACTCAACAATGCACACGGGCGTCCGATCTCACAACCCAGAGACCAGGGGGGATTACTAGTCCAAGTCCAGGTGAAAAAATTCCAGACCTTACTGGGGATTAAACCCGGAACCTCTAGCACTCGAGGCGGACACCATGCCTCTAGACCACACAGCCCCCTACACATAACAGAAAACACCTTTAGTCAAGCTTCCGATCCTTAGTAATCAGGACAGTCAAGGACCTTTACTCACACCTTGTGGCGTATTAGGTATATTAGGCCCGACCTATATTTGACATACCAGTCGGCATTAGGTGGGTGATGCCGTCAACATAGCGCCGGCCGCCTTTACTTCCCATGACTCTACGCAGTGCCTATTTAAGGCTAGGTCGACTGGGAGCCGAGATCATACTTAAAAAACATCTAGTTCCATGTGGATTTGAACTCATGACTTTTGATTGACAGGCAGCGACTAGCCACTACACCGCAGCGGCTCCCAGTTAACATAATAATAATAATAACAATAATAATAATAATAATATAATAATAATAATAATAATAATAATAATAATAATAATAATAATAAGTGCTGAATATAAAATAATTTAAAACATTTGAACAAAACTTCTTGCTCTTGTTGTTGTTCTTGTTCTTGTTTGGAAAGTTCCAGCTGTTCGTCAACATCTAGACTTTATTTAATCTTGTTCGAGAACCTAACTTTTGCGTGCACATCCGTTTTACAGATCTGGCTTATGTGTATGCAAAGGTTGGCCCCTGGTCTCTTTGGTAGATGCACTTTGACTTCAAAGAAAACATTCAAATCACTCGCCTTTTGAGACATATCTGTTGTATGGGAAGAGGAAAAAGAAGAAGACTGGCTAACAGCAGCAGCAACAGTGCTAACAGCAGTAGCTGTATGAGTAGTAGCAGCAAGAGCAGGAGTAGCATAAGTAGCAGTGGCAGTAGTAGTAGCAGCAGCAGTGGTAGCAGCAGAAGTAGCGGCAGTAGAAGTAGCAGCATCAGGGGTAGCAGCAGCAGCAGGGGTAGAAGCAGCAGCAGCAGGGGTAGAAGCAGCAGGGATAGCAGAAGTAGCAGAAGTAGCAGAAGCAGGATAGCAGCAGCAGGAATGGCAGCAGCAGGGGTAGAGCAGCAGCAAGAGTAGCAGCAGTAGCAGCAGCAGTAGTAGTAGAAGTAGTAGAAGTAGTAGTAGTAGTAGTAGTAGTAGTAGTAGTAGTAGTAGTAGTAGTAGTAGTAGTAGTAGTATAGTAGTAGTAGTAGTAGTAGTAGTAGTAGTAGTAGAAGTAATAGTAGTAGCAGAAGCAGCAGCAGGAGAAGCAGCAGAATTAGCAGGGTTAGCAGCAGGAGTAGCAGCAGCAGCAGGAGTAGCAGCAGCAGGAGTAGCCGAAGTAGTAGTAACAGCATTAGAAGTAGTCCGGGCTTTGTTTCCTGGCAGTACGCAACTGTGCACGGTACCGGCATCTTTGTAGGCATCATGATTAGCACTTCTGTGACACACACAACGTGCCAAGTACCGCCACGATTTTAGACACTTTGTAATCAGTACCGGCACCTTTTTAGACATTTTGTAGTGAGTACCCCCACCTTTTTTAAAAAACACTTTGCAGTGAGTACTGGCCTGATTTTAGACACTTTTTAGTGAGTACGGGAACGATTTTAGACACTTTGTAGTGAGTACGGGAAAGATTTTAGACACTTTGTAGTGAGTACGGGAACGATTTTAGACACTTTGTAGTGAGTACGGAAAAGATTTTAGACACTTTGTAGTGAGTACGGGCACGATTTTAGACACTTTTTAGTTAGTACTGGAAAGATTTTAGACACTTTGTAGTGAGTACGGGAACGATTTTAGACACTTTGTAGTGAGTACGGGCACGATTTTAGACACTTTGTAGTGAGTACGGGAACGATTTTAGACTTTGTAGTGAGTACCTGCACCTTTTAGACACTTTGTGGTAAGTACCGGCACGAGTTTACACACTTTATGGTGAATACCGGCATGATTTTAGACACTTTGTGGTGAGTAACGGCAAGATTTTAGACACTTTGTGGTGAGTAACGGCAAGATTTTAGACACTTTGTGGTGAGTAACGGCAAGATTTTAGACACTTTGTGGTGAGTAACGGCAAGATTTTAGACTTTGTAGTGAGTAACGGCAAGATTTTAGACACTTTGTGGTGAGTAACGGCAAGATTTTAGACACTTTGTGGTGAGTAACGGCAAGATTTTAGACACTTTGTGGTGAGTAACGGCAAGATTTTAGACTTTGTAGTGAGTAACGGCAAGATTTTAGACACTTTGTGGTGAGTAACGGCATGATTTTAGACACTTTGTGGTGAGTAACGGCAAGATTTTAGACACTTTGTGGTGAGTAACGGCAAGATTTTAGACACTTTGTGGTGAGTAACGGCAAGATTTTAGACACTTTGTGGTGAGTAACGGCAAGATTTTACACATTTTTTAGTGAGTAACGGCAAGATTTTACACACTTTTTAGTGAGTAACGGCAAGATTTTACACACTTTTTAGTGAGTAACGGCAAGATTTTACACACTTTTTAGTGAGTAACGTCAAGATTTTACACACTTTTTAGTGAGTAACGGCAAGATTTTACACACTTTTTAGTGAGTAACGGCAAGATTTTACACACTTTTTAGTGAGTAACGGCAAGATTTTACACACTTTGTAGTGAGTAACGGCAAGATTTTAGACACTTTGTGGTGAGTAACGGCAAGATTTTAGACACTTTGTGGTGAGTAACGGCAAGATTTTACACACTTTGTAGTGAGTGACGGCAAGATTTTACACACCTTGTAGTGAGTAACGGCAAGATTTTACACACTTTTTAGTGAGTAACGGCAAGATTTTACACACCTTGTAGTGAGTAACGGCAAGATTTTACACACTTTGTAGTGAGTAACGGCAAGATTTTAGACACTTTGTGGTGAGTAACGGCAAGATTTTAGACACTTTGTGGTGAGTAACGGCAAGATTTTACACACTTTGTAGTGAGTGACGGCAAGATTTTACACACCTTGTAGTGAGTAACGGCAAGATTCTACACACTTTGTGGTAAATACCGGCACGATTTTAGACACTTGGCGACGAGTACCGGCACCTTTTTTAAAGAAGTTGTGCTGAGAACCGGCACCTTTGTAACCACTTTGTGGTGAATAACCGCATCTGTATCTCTGGACAGAATTCAAGCTTATCACAAAATAGCATAAATACCTCCAGTTTTCTAGTGACCATGCAAATCGATGTAGGGTCCACTTTGGTTAAGGAGAGGACCTCGTTCAGCTGGGACTCTCTTTTCTCCAGTATGTCGGCCAAAGAGGCCAGCTTCTTCTCCAGCAACAGATTCTTGAAGCTGCACTTCTGTTGCACCTCTTGAATAGCTTCCAGAAATTTGTGGTACAGTTCGTCTCTTTCTAACTGTGCCTGCGAAAACAAAGGCAGGTGGTGACGTGTTTGAGTGTGTTACCGGCACAAGACAGCTGGGTACATTACTTGGTGTGGATGTTTTATTTGTATGTTTGAATAAACATAATTATGCATGCTTATATATATATATATATATATATATATATATATATATATATATATATATATATATATATATATATATATATATTTAGGGCTGTACCGAATAGTGATTTTCACTATTCGGCCGAAAACGAATAGTGTGACCAACTATTCGGCCGAATACGAATACGAATAGAAATAGTGGATCATCATCATCAGGTGCCTTGCTGACTTGCGTGGGCGATTATGCCTCGCCTCAATCTGCAATCTCCTGCAGCATGTATTAGTTCGTGTGCTGACACACCTCCATGCCATGCAACAAGACTGTCAAGAATCTTTTCTCGTTGTCTTCCCCTATCCCCCCTTCTACAGATCTTTCCAGTGGTCACCACATGTTCCATTTTCCCTCTTCTCTTAACATGGCCGAAAAATGATGACTGTCTCCTTCTGATGTCTGTGATTAGTTGTCTTCGGGCTCCCGCCTCTTTCAAAACCATCGTTCGCTCAGCCGTTCGTTCGATGTAATTTAAACGCACCTTCATATTCTCGTTAGCAATATCTTCAAATTTGATTTGGGCACAGACGCACTGAAAGAACCAAAAAATGCATGATCTCTCTCTCTCTATCTCTCTCTCTCTCTCTCTCTCTCTCTCTCTCTCTCTCTCTCTCTCTCTCTCTCTCTCTCTCTCACACACACACACACACACACACAGACACACACAAGCAAGCAACAAAAAAGAACGCATTGCCTTTAAATATAAGTGCTTACTTGACGAGGCTGTTACTATTGTACAGACCATTTTTTCCACTTTAAAATTTCAGTCAAAATGTAATCACAGCCTTACTTATCAGCTGTACCTATTGTGTTAATGAGAGAGATATTTCAGTCCATCGCAGTGCATGCAGAAACGGGTATGAGGTAACCACTATTCGTATTCGGCCCGACCGCAATTATTCGGCCGAATACCGAATAGTTATTATGTCCACTGTTCGGCTCCGAAGCGAATACGAAGCGAATATTCGGTACAGCCCTAGTTACTACTGCTGCTGCCACTATTACTAGTCTACTCTGCTGCTGCTGCTACTACTACTACTAACCTAACCTAACCGACTGAGGAAAAAGGTTGAAGTGTGAACCTTACCCACCTTTTTATGAGACTGCTCTAAAAGTTCTCTCTCCCATTTGACATCCTGTAGTTCGCTTGTGAGAGACGTCAGGCGGGCTTGTTGAATCTGTACGAAGCACCAGTCAAAGGTTAAAGGTTAGTTTGCATGACCTTTTAAGGGGGTCGCCTAACAAATGTTATTGATTCCTGTGTGGTTTTAGAAGGAAATTTTATGTGTGAACGGCACTGATATGTGTGAACGGTACCGATATGTGTGAATGGCACCGATATGTGAATGGCACCTTTATGTGTGAATGGCACCGATATGTGTGAAGGGCACCGATATGTGAACGGTACCAATATGTGTGAATGGCACCCATATATGTGAATGACAACAATCTCAATGAATGATAACGTGGGTTTTTAATGGCACCTATTTTTGGTTTTGAGGTTTTTAACAACAGATCAACATCATGGCACGCTGGTAGTAACCCATCAGTGATCCGTTCTTCTATTTACTCAAGTCTGGAGCCGAAGAAACTCGGCACGGTACACTGGCTCCTCTGTAGCATCGGCGAGGATTCTGAAATACTTCAGGGAGATTATTATCTTGATATTTGGAGCGGTTTGGCTACTCTTTTTGATTTCCAGCTGCCAACGGATTTTTACGTCCGCAACAATGCACACGGGCGTCCGACCTCACTACCCAGAGGTTAGGTTAGTTGCGTATTCTTTACAGGACGTTGCAGAACCAACCCCAGCAGTCCCTGACTGTTGTGTGGTTTCTCTAGACAAATGTGCGTCCAGTAGTTTCACCAGAGACCCGGTGAAATTACTAGGAGTATACGGGAAAAGAGAAAATCCCAGCTCTTACCGGGGATTGAACCCGGAACCTCTAGCACTCGAGGCGGATACCATGCCTCGAGACCACGCAGCCCCTTGTCACCATCAAAATGGCACCGACGTCTATTAAATAATTGTGATATCTATGAATGGCATCAACATGGCATTTTTTTTTTTTTTTTCTTCCAACTGTTGGAAATGGAATGTACTAATGTTTTTTTTTTTTTTTAGACATCATTTGCATTTGTTACTCTCGAACCTTTGGAATGTCGCGACCTTTAATACGGTTCCTCGTGACCCAGAACCCTACAATTATGTATTGTGGCTTCTTTGGCACTTCAACGAATATGTGTTTTCCGATGATCTTTGGCGACGCCTGGGAAAGGGTCGTTTGACCCACACACAAAAGGGTCGCGACTCACAGGTTGTGAACCGCTGAATTTAGATCTGGGTCTCCCCCCCCCCCCCGGCCCAATTATGTTTTGCAGCGCTTTTGTAGGAGACACTTTATGATGAATGGTGAAGACATGCTATTCTGTAAACAACATAAATGTCTAAAAATGGTACCAATTTCTATGAATGACACCAATTTCTATGAACGACACCAATTTCTATGAATGACACCAATTTCTATGAACGACACCAATTTCTATGAACGACACCAATTTCTATGAACGACACCAATTTCTATGAACGACACCAATTTCTATGAACGACACCAATTTCTATGAACGACACCAATTTCTATGAATGACACCAGTTTTTTATGAATGACACCAATTTCTATGAACGACACAAATTTCTTTGAATGACACCAATTTCTATGAATGACACCAATTTCTATGAACGACACCAATTTCCATGAACGACACAAATTTCTTTGAATGACACCAATTTCTATGAACGACACCAATTTCTATGAATGACACCAATTTCTATGAACGACACCAATTTCTATGAACGACACAAATTTCTTTGAATGACACCAATTTCTATGAACGACACCAATTTCTATGAATGACACCAATTTCTATGAACGACACAAATTTCTTTGAATGACACCAATTTCTATGAACGACACCAATTTCTATGAATGACACCAATTTATATGAACGACACCAATTTCTATGAATGACACCAATTTCTATGAATGACACCAATTTTTATGAATGACACCAATTTTTGTGGATGGTATATTTTTAGACACTCCAATGTGAGCACCGGCAACAACTTTATCTAGAAACAAAAGATGCCCTCATCAACAAAGTCTATGAGTGGCACACGTTTCTAAAAACAGAAACCATTTATGTGAACGGCTAGTAATTTCTATGAGTGACATAAATTTCTACAAATAACTGAAATTTCTATGACTGGCAACAATGTCTGTGAGTGCAGTCAATTTCTATGAATGACACCAGTTTATATGAATGACACCGATTTTTTTTAAAACAACACCATTTAACTGGAATGGCAACTTGATGAAGAATGCAAACCGCGCCTACCTTCATTTTTTCCTTGTCCTTCTCATAATTCGACAGCTTAATCTTTAAGTCCTCCACCCTCCTCTTAGTTCGTTCGAACGGACCAACCAGACGTCTTGTTTGTTTCTTCCAGCTCCTTCATGTCTTTCTGCATTCTAGATTCCTTCATTTTTATATCTTCTAACTGGTCCTGTTTTCATTTTCAGAAGCGAATCCCGTTATTATAAGAGTTCAATTACTTTTCCATTATATGTGTACACGCAAAATTATATTTAGTAATTTCTGGAAAAAAAAGGAAAAGGAAAAAAAAAATTGGAGAGCGAAGAGAAAGAGAAGAGCCTTTATAATTATCAGCACCCTTACCCTCGCACCCCACCCCCTTCTTATTAACCCCCCGCACCCCACCCCCTTCTTATCGATCTGCATCTTCTTTTTTTTTCAAAAACTTTCAAAAACTGTTTCAAAAACTGTTTCAAAAACATGTGTTTGGAAACGTTTCAAAAACTGTTTCAAAAACTGTTTCTTCTCCGGTTGGAAACGAAGAAGAAGAAGAAGAAGAAGAACAACAACAACAACAACAGAACTACTATCACTAGTATTCCTAGTACTACTATTCCTGCAATTACCACTACTACTGATACCATTACCACTACTTCTACTAATACTACCACATCATTACTACTATCAGTACCACTACTATTACTACTTCTACTAATACTACCACATCATTACTACTATCAGTACCACTACTATTACTACTTCTACTAATACTACCACATCATTACTACTATCAGTACCACTACTATTACTACTTCTACTAATACTACCACATCATTACTACTATCAGTACCACTACTATTACTACTTTTACTAATACTACCACATCATTACTACTATCAGCACCACTACTATTACTACTTCTACTAATACTACCACACCATTACTTCTGTCAGTACCACTACTATTACTACTTCTACTAATACTACCACACCATTACTACTATCAGTACCACTACTATTACTACTTTTACTAATACTACCACACCATTACTACTATCAGTACCACTACTATTACTACTTCTACTAATAGTACTACCACCAGTACTATTAGCCCTACTATTACTGCTACTATTATCAGCACTATAACTAACACTACTACTACTATTATAACTATCACCTCCACTACTACTACTGCTACCACTATTACCACTGTCACGAGTACTAACTACCACTACTACTACGATTACCACCACCTGCTCCAGTACTAATGTTACCGCCACCAACACCACCACTACTACTACTATCACTACTATTGCCGCAACTACAATTACTACTGTTATTACCACCACTTCCTCCACTACTACTACTACTACTGTTACCGCCACCACTACTATTACTATTACCAGTACTATTACCGCCACCACTACTATAACTACAACCCCCACCACCACTACTACCACAACTATTACCGCCACCACTACTATTACTACAACCCCCACCACCACTACTACCACTACTATTACCGCCACCACTACTATTACTACAACCCCCACCACCACTACTACCACTACTATTACCGCCACCACTACTGTTACTACAACCCCCACCTCCACTACTACCACTACTATTACCGCCACCACTACTAATACTACAACCCCCACCATCACTACTACCACTACTATTACTGCCACCATTACTACTAATGGTGATGCTGCTGCTGTTAATATTTTTAAAAAAAAAACACGCACAAATAAAAATAAACAGAAAGAACAACAAGATCAGGCCATCAAACAGAACAAAAAGAAGCAGACTGGTTTAGATTGCACCGTAACTGCATTGTGCAAGTTGTCTTGGTTCAAACAGTTAACCTTTACGCGTGCACATACACATACATACAGAGAGGGGCGGGGGGGGGCTGATAAATAGAAGAACACACACACATAAACACACACACATGTACATAT